CGCTTCCTTAGAAAGGAAACTTAAGAAACTAGGGTAGGGAACATTTTTCTTGAACTTCAGGGATGTATGATGAGGTCTGCAATGGTTGCTCAGAGGACCTGGCCTTTAGGTACACATTGGTACATGTGCACACACACATATACATAAAGAGTTACATACTGCCAGGCTGGGGGCATGGCTCAAGTGGTAGCGAGCTTGCCTATCAAGGGTGAAGCCCTGAGTTCAAGTCCCAGTGCTGCCAAAAATAAAAGTGTTCCAGAGTTATATACTGGGGATAAGTAGCTTTCTGTGTAGAGGGAACACAGATTCCCCTCCACATGCTTCCCTCTAAAGTAAACAATCTGCAGAACTGTAAGATACCACCCAGGGTAGGCTGCATATGCTCCTAGATACCGCTCTGGTTCTAGGTACTTAGATCCTGTTCTTTATGGTCAAAGCTACCCTGGACCTGGGAGGAACACTCAGGTCTCCTATAGGATAAATAATGGAAAGTCTGGCCAGCCTCTGCTTAGTACATCACTGTCATGCCATGTCAGTCTCAATGCTCCTGGATACAACTAACATTCTCCAGCAGTAAGTGGCCAGGACATTTGGTGGTCTTCATGTCCCTCCCTGACCAGGGCCTCAAACATGCAGGAAGTGCTCTACCACAGAGCTACATCCTTATCCCTCATCCCTATGGTCTGTTCTTTTTTTTTTTTTTTTTTGGTGGGACTGGAGTTTGAACTCAGGGCTTCACACTTGCAAAGTAGACACTCTACTGCTTGAGCCAAACCTCCAGTTCATTTTGCTCTGGTTATTTGGGAGATGAGATCTCATGGTCTGTTTGCCCAGGTTGACCTCAAACTTCAATCCTTCTGATCTTAGCCTCCCAAGTAGCTAGGATTGCAGGCATGTGCTACCGGTGCCCAGTTCCATGGTCTACTCTTTATAACTCCATGCTATGTTTTCTTGAGGAAATATTTAACCAGTACTTTTTTAAAAATGTTTTTCTTTTTCTTTTTTTTTGTTTTCTTTTTAGCCAGTACTTTTTAATGAGTATTTTGCAAAAGTTAAAATTTAAGATGGATGTGATGGTCTATGTCTGTAATCCCAGCACTTTCGGTGTTTAGGCAGAAAAGATCTGGAGTTCAAGGTCAGTCTGAGCTCATCCTGTGTCAATAAAATAAAATAGTGCTCTCTTCAGCAGCACATATACTAAAATTGGAACTATACAGAGAAGATTAGCATAGCTTGTGTGCAAGGATGACATGCAAATTCATGAAGCATAAAATAATAAAATAAGCTGGGCACTGGTGCCTCACACCTATAATCCTAGCTATTCAGGAGGCAAAGATCAGGAGGATTGAGGTTCGAAGCCAGCCCAAGCAAACAGTTCAAGAGACCCTATCACGGAAAAAATCCAACACAAAAAAACAGGGCTGATGGAGTGGCTCAAGGTAGAGGCTCTGAGTTCAAACCCCAGTACTGCAAAATAAATAAATTAAATAAAATTTAAGGGATTTATTAGGCTGATAATAAGAAGAGAGGGTTGGAAAAGACTCAGTTGGAGGCAGTAGCTTGAGGTCTAGGAGGAATATTCCCCACTAAGGATCAGCCAGGTGGGAGCTCAGAAGTTCCCTTCCCTGGCAGCAAAACGAATAATTTTTTTCTTCTTTTCAGTATTAGAGTTTGAACTCAGGTCCTGAGCAAGTGCTCTACCACTTGAGTCACCACCCCCTGCTGCCCTTTTTCATCCATTCTTACTTATTTTCAAAATGGGGCATCTCTGTGTTTGTTGCCGTTGTGGCCTGTAATACTGCCAGCCCTACTTTCGTGATAGCTGGATTAACAGGTGTGGACACCATTCTGGCTTAGGCTGAAATTTAACTAGAAAAAGTTGTGAAGTAATCCAGGATTCGGGAGCAAGCAGGATAGAAAGTTTGAGGACAGCCTGGTCTACATAGCAAGGTCTAGACCAACCTGAGGCTAATAGCTGTGAGATTCCTATCTCATCAACTAACAAACAGAAAAGACGAGTTTTTGTGAGAACTTGTGTCTGAGTTCAGCATCATTAAGCCTGCGGATAAGGTTAAGTCAAATTGAAACGTCCTGTTTCCACGTAGCCTATCAGTATGGTTAGGATGCAGTGTCGATGTGCAGAGAGAAATGGCGAATCGGCATCTCTATTCACGTCTGATTGGAAGATCACTGACAAGAATCTTAGGTATGGGACTTTTCCACTTTCAGTTCAAGGCTCACTGGCGAAGATGGGCAGCTGGTGAAAAAGTCGAAAAATTCTTTCACCTAAGCCCAGGGTGATTCCTGGAACTGTAATTCAGATAGGACATCTTATATCCTCAGGTCGTTCACATGACCTTCTGGCTATGCTTTTGCGTGTCCCTTGAGTACTCAATCCACAAGCACTTGTCCCAATTCAATTCACCATTCTTTTTTTATGTTTTCTGGTGCTAGGGATGAAATCCACAGGGCCTTGAGAATAATAGGGGCAATTGTCCTACCATGTAAACTTGGAACTGACTTACATCTTCCCACACAAACCCGCCTTTATTGTGCTTGTCAATTAATGCCAACCTTCTGGCTGGGCGATTCTCAGTAGTTAGGTGAGTGCTTGCATGTGTTGGAACTGCAGAGAGCCGGCTTCCAATCCCTAGCACCAAAATTATAGTAACAATAATATACTACTTTCATATCTCAGGCCCTCACACAGTATACTCCCTGTCTATCTATGACCTGATTCCTTGACTTTGGTTTTGAATTTCACTGTCTCTTACTCCAGAAGTCAAGCATGATCGTATTGTGTCAGGTCCTTTCATTTATTCTCAAATAAGAAGAGCTGGGGGAGTGACTCAAGTGGTAGAGTATCTTTCTAGCAGGCATGAGGCCCTGAGTTCAAACCCCAGTACTGCCAAAAAATGAAATAATCTTTTAAAATTTTCAGACAAAAATTTTTTTGTTTTCTTGCAGTGCTGGGAATTGAACCCAGGGCCTTGTGCATGGTAGGCAAAAACACTACAACTCAGCTACATCCCTGCCCTATCTTACTTATTTTCAAAGCATCCTATACCACCTCATAGAACTAAGCATGCTTTTAAAATAATTATAACATTGTTCTGCTTTCCTGAGATACCTGGCAGAGCATGTCACAGGACTGAAAAGAAGAAGTGTTGTACCAAAGGAGCAGAGTGCTTTTGGGAGAGAAATGTGAAGAGAAAATGGAGCCTGGGTATTCCCAGCTTTAGATGTATGGGTTGCTACTCTTTAGCAGATTAGAAGTCTACAAATAAGCTATTCAGGTTTGAAGCCAGCCCCCACAGTTTGAGAGACACTATCTTGAAAATGCACCCCTAAAAAAGGGCTAGTGGAGTAGCTCAAGTGGTAAGAGCACCTGCTTAGCAAGCATCAGGCCCCAGTGCTGCCCCACCCCCACCACAAAAAAAAAAAAAAATCCCTGGCCCAATTTGAGTGGAAGGTTTTTGTACTGACAAATTCATGCTGATGCTTACTATAGGCCAGGCCCTTGTGAGTCTGGAAATCAACCTCTGAGAAAGCAGATTAGTCATTCACAGATGCTGTGAAGACTCTCAGGAGGGCTAGGAATATAGCTCTGTGACAAAGCTTTTGCCCAGTGCACAAGAGGCCCTGAGTTCAAACCCAATTCAAACCCCAGCAAATCCTCATTCCATCCCTCTCCTCCCCCCGAAAAAAAAAAGGCTCATGGGAGTCCTGAGAGGACCACAGGTAGGATGGAGGCCCCAAGGCAGGGCACACAGTTCTGCCTGGATTACCTCAGAGGGGACTCAAAAGCTGAGTGGAAGCCAAGCATGGTAGCAGATGACTAGTTCCAGCATTTGGGAGGCTGAATGAGGCAGGAGGATCAGGAATTTGAGACCAGCCTAGATTACATAGTGAGACCCCATCTCAAAAATCAAACAAAGCAACAAAAAAAGCTGAAACCAAGGCTTTACAGCCAGAGGGAAGAAGGCCTATTCAGTTCTGATTAGGATGGGAAGAGGAAATGGGAGCCAGAGCTGGGGGTGAAGACCTTTATCCCTTAGCAACCTAAGAGAGAGAAGCGCACATCAAATATCTTTGCTTAGGGCCTGAGGGAAAGTTGAGGTGGTTTATACATAGGAAGGACCTTGAGGTCACCAATGTGGGGCACAAATGCTGGAATCTCATAAACTCTGGCCTACACTCTGGAGTGGGTGATTCTGCTAGCATGTCTTTGGGTCCTTGTCTGCCCAAGCAGAAGTTGCACCCAGGTGTGATAAGTCCCAGCAGTGTGATAGGAAATGACTCCAAATCTGTCTTGATCAATAGATGGAGGGGTGGGACCTGAACAGCATCTGGCGTCTAAGATATATCCCTGTTCTAAGAAATTTAACTTAAGGGGTGGGTACTGTATCTTCAGCAAGCCTGTATGAGTGGCAGCAACCTGGTGAGGCCAGTGACAACAAATAAAAGCAATGGGTAGCAGGGCTGGGCATGTAGCTCAAATGGTAAAGTGCCTGCCTCTCCTGAATTCAAATCCCAGTACCACCAAAAATAAAAAGCACTGAGTAGCAATATGAAAAACTGTAGCAAAGCAAATGGGAAACTCATTGCACAAGCCTGCAGCTATGTGAAATGGGTTTGTGTAGGCCTAACATTTGAAGACCCAGAATGTGAGTGGGACCCATGTTACTTTGTAAAGGTCATTTCAGTGTCCAGCAAATTCTCAGAAAGAAGAGGCCTACTATTGGGGTTAGTCGGCCCTTATCTACTGTGTTCCTCTTTTTGTAATAAGGACTCTCTGCTGTAACAAGCTCTTCCAGGATGACCTTGTAGCAGGTCCTGGGAGAGGGAAAAACACAGGAACAAGAGTCCAGATCTCCCACATAGGAAAGAATGGATTCCACAGGATGGAGAAAAAAAGAGCAGTAAATTCATACTTAGGGACTAGGTCCCTACCCCATGACAATAAAATTGTAGGAAAGATGCCCACCTGACACGGACACAGGACAAACACAGTTCTCTGATGCTCAGAACTTTATTAGTGGTGAAAATGACCTTGATCTAGGACAGGACCAGTGCCTATCTCAGGGGATTTTCCTGCATTATCAGGCGGTCCTCCATTCAGGTTTAGAGGAAACACCGTCATGGATGAAATCCCAAGAGAGGGCAGCCAGAGACTACCAAACCCGAACAGGAGAGGCAACTTAGGCACATCTGGGACCCTTGGGCAGCAGGGCTTCAATGTCAGGCTGGATATCGATGGTCGGGAAGCGACGGCTGTAGCGGCGCACTGGCACACCGTCAGGGCCCACCAGGAACTTCTCAAAGTTCCAGGAAATGTCGTTGCGGCACACCGGAGACCAGATGATTAACTTGGGGTCGGTTATGAACGCAGTGGGGTCGTCGCTGGGCACCGGCAGGGCCTCCCGCAGGAAGGCGAAGAGTGGATGCGCCTGTGCACCATTCACTTCGCACTTCTCGAACAGTGTGAAGTTGGGCTCGAACCCGCCACCAGGTCGGACATACTTGAGGGAATTCAGAATCTCTTCGTTCTCGGCGTTCTCCTATGGGAAAGAAGGGCAGCTGGGTCAGGGGCCGTGCAGGGGCTTCTAGCCAGACAGTTTTTCAACGAATCACGAGGATGCCTCCCTCCTTGCACAACCCCTGGGCGGGCCTGAATTCCAGCAGCCACGAGCACCGGAAGGGAAGCGAGCGGGTGGCCCGCCACTTGGCGAACCCGGCCTGAAGCTGTCCAGCCGGTCCACCTCTTGCCGATAGCAAGCACACCCTCGCCCAACTCCGCCCCACCCTCCCCGCACACCTGATGTCCAAACTGGTTGCACGGGAAGCCGAGTACGACCAGGCCCCTGGGCCCGAGGCGCCTCTGCAGCTCGTTCATCTGCGTATAGTCCCGGGCGGTGGTGCCTCAGAGGGACGCCACATTCTCGATGAGCAGCACCTTGCCCTGCAGGGAGCCCAGGTTCAAGGGCTTCCCGCAGGCCAGCCGGCGCGCCGAGAAGGTGTACACAGTGGACCGGGCCGCCGCGGCCTGCCGAGCAGCACACATGGCGTCGAAGTGCGCAACTTGAATGGAGAACTCAACTAACACAACAGGGAGCACCCGAGGCGCCTTATAACTGGTTGGCGGTGGGGTCACGTGGCGCCTGCATTTTTCCGGTCCTTCAGCCCCTTCCCCGCCCGAGGGTCCCGCCTCATCCGGCCACCCCCCCCACCCCGTTGGGCCTTGTCCCTCCCCAGCTGAGGACAGGCGGGAGGGTGCGGCCTGGCGAAAAGCTGGATTCAACCAAGCCGGGTGGAGCCGCACGGGCACATCTGGTCTGGCCGAGGCAACGCAGCGCTGGCCTGGAGGCCTTCGCCTCGGTTGTCCCTCCGAGGGAGGCCCTTGAGGGCTATGGATTCTTTCTCAAAGGTTTCCCAATTAGGTTGTGGGGTCCAACCTAGACTGGCCGCTGGCGACTGCAGCTGTGGAAGCAGCTCAGGCTCAAACAGTTCCCCCCAACCTGTATTCTCTTAAGAATGTGTCCTACAGACGCCAGGTGCAATGATGGTGTTGACAGCGGCTTACCAAGGCAAGTTCTCTTGGCTACATGCTTTTGAAGGGTAAACTGGCAGAGGGTGGGCAATGCCAGGGCTATAAAAAAAATCCAAGCTCCAAGTCAGTCAGCCCTCTCTCTGGTCCCTTCATTTTGGGGCTGCTGAGGAAGGCTCGTCTGGTTCCTGGTTTACTACCTTTCTGCAACAGGTGGAGCACCGCCCTTCTGGTTTTCTGTAACGCATAGTGCAGGAGACCCTGCCGCATCCTTTTGGAGTGGAGCTCAACAGCTCACCAGGGGCAAGGACATTCAGTCTAGAGTGTCTCCTTCATCTCCTCACCAGACTCTTCATTCCCACCCCATTCCTACTATGAACTTGAACGTGGCATAGGATAATAATTTCCATGTTCTTGGGAGGACCCAGGTTAGTACAAGTGGGTGTGTTCGAGGAGAGGTCAGGGTAAGGGGATGGGGAGCACACAGCTGGTACTCTGCACCTTGCAGGAATTAGGCCAGGTGGACTGAATCCTTCCATCTTCCTGCCCCCAGCCCTGGAGAAAGCAAAACAAACACCAGGATACAGGAAGTTTAGAAAACTGCCTTTATTCTATTAGTTGGAAAAAAATTAACTGGTACAGAAAAAAAGTTTAGTCAGCTGGAAAGAAGAGAAAACCCCAAGTGCCATCCATGAGAACTGGTGGCTCCTCTGGGAGGGAACCTGGTTACAGTGAGAAAGGAGCACTGTGAATTAGAGCCAGATGCTGTGGTCCAGGTGAGAAGGGCTATGCCAAATGTTTAATTGCCTCAGCCGTAAAACCAAATTCCTTTTTACTAAGCCCAGCTCTGGAGAGGGGTACTGGGATATACAGGGCTGAAAAGGGGTAATATGGACATATTTTATCAGAGAAATTGACAAAACGGGAATTTAAAAAATGAGTTTTCCATCTGACTTTATTTCCAAATACACTCTTAAAAAAAAAAAAAAACAATACACTTTCTGTGGGAATGACAAATATCAGTCTTAGGAAATCCAATTATACAAAAAATACTACATCTAGTCTGGGGCAGATATATTTATTTTTGGTAACATACATTAAGTGGCACTAATTACACAGTAACTATAAGGTAACTAACATGAAACCACAGAACAGTAACTCTGCCACAGCTGCAGGGACTTGGACCTTTCTGGTTGAGCACATTTTCAAAAAACTAGATACCCACCCAGAGCTATGCCAATGAAATCTGTTAAGGAATAAAGCTCTTAAGTGGTGACTCACCAGAGGTCTTTGCAGCTGACATGACAGGCAGGACATGTTAGTTAAAAAGTAGTTACAGCCTAATTCACAAAAGTTACCAACTGTTTCTCTTTCTAGAAAGAAGCAAGAAGTTAAGAAATTCCTTGAATTAGCGCCTGGTGTATCAGGTGGAGTGCAGAGAGGGCTGTTAGAGCAGTGTCAGAAGGACCCTGGCGGGTCAGACGGCTTGGACATCATTAATAATCATGGTTGGCTTCTAAATACTGGTAGCAAGATGACTTCTGATTTGTAATCTTAGGTAAATTATAGATAAATGAAAAAGGCCAGTAATCATACACTAAGATTAATAAACAGCACTTCAAAATTAACCGCATGAGGGCTGTGCTTGCAGCAAGGTTTCACAAGACAAGGCACCCAGATTTTTTTTTCCCACGTCTGGCTTGCAGAGCAGCTCTCGTGGCCATTTCAAAAACCTCCCTCACTCCATCTTTGGTCTTTGCTGAACACTCCATGTACCCAAAAGCACCAATCCTGTTTGCCATATCTCTGCCTTCTTCAGGTTTTACTGGCTCCTGGTAAAGAGAAAAGAGTGCTTTTAGCTAAAAGAGTACTTAGGTAGTTATATATTTAAATTCAGCTAAGACTTTCACCTTCCTCTAAGACAGGGTCTCAATATGCTGCCTAGAGTGGCCTCAAGTGATTCTCTTGCCTCACCTCACCCCTCAGAACAGGTGCATGCTACCAAACCTGGCTTAAAAGACTTTTTTTTTAACCCACCAAACTCCCAAATTTGAGCTGCTATATGAATTTCTAAAACTGATATGCAATGGCTATCATCTCCCTCCCTCTACTGCACACTCCCACCCTCCAAATAAAATCTCTATTAAACATACTCTTCTCTGGAAATTAGAGAAGGAGGGAAAAATCAGAAGAGCCCTGGAAAATTAAGGAAGGAATGAATCCAGAGCAAGTTTATAGGTCTTCCTGTAGTTAGCTTTACAAAGGACAGAATGCCCACAAACGGAAACAGGGCCTGCCCTTGACAGTGAGGCATGGGTTCTTCTAGGTTAAAGACCTCAACACTTCTGTACTGGGGAAGCCCTGCCATTAGGCCACCTGGCTTCTGAAAGAGACCAAGAGATGCTACTTCCAATCATCATTTTATCGTAACGGCATTAGGGCTTTCTGTCTGGACTTCCTGCCTTTAAAATTTCCTGATTCTTCAATATGTACCCAGGTAATAACTGAAGAGGGAAATCAACAGCTTGATAAAACTCCTGCATATGAAATATTAATTACTGTTGAGATGGTTCCTTCCTAGGATGGCATTCCTTGAGCACACAACTCCTCCTAAGGTAGGGATTTCTGAGCTTCTAAAACAACTTGGATTGTGACAGTTTCTGCAGGGTGCCCAAGTTCAAGAATGCTATAGGAAAACAGAACCCTCCCCAGACCATGCCTGCTTCATCTTGGCTAACTCCCGCCTTGTGTGCTCATCATTCCGAAGATCCTTCTTATTCCCAACCAGAATGATGGGCACGTTGGGACAGAAATGCTTGACTTCTGGAGTCCATTTTTCTGGGATGTTTTCTGAAAGAAAAACGCACAGAATTTGGGGATACATTATAATTCCATCTTGAAGAAGTTCCAAGAGCCCTAGTTAAGCAAAGGCATTTCTGAAGTATGTTGGACCATTTAAATGGAAACCAACTAATTTCAACGGCAAAATGTCTAACGCCTTTTCCCACTAAACCACCAGCTTCTTTCAATATCACAGAAGTTGCTGAGCTCCACTGGAGGTGGGGCCCAACTTAGCAATCTGGAGGAGCAAAGGATCTAATATAGATGGTGGTGTCAATAAGGGTACTGCCTGTCCCACAGGCCATGCCTGTCATTGCTGGCAGATGATTCATACCCCAATACAGAAGGAGTCCCACAGTTGGCTCAGGGTCCCCACATTCTCTTTCTACCTTGCTCATGGGCCCACAACATGACCTCCACCCTGTGGGTTACTGATATTACAGATGGCTCAAGAATACCTTTAAGGTGGGTGCTGGTGGCCCCTACCTGTAATCCTAGCTACTCAGGAGGCAGAGATCAGGAGGCTTTCGGTTCTAAGGCAGCCCCAGGCAAATAGTTCAGGAGACCCTATTTTGAAAACACCCAACACAAAACAGGGCTTCTGGAGTGGTTCAAGTGGTAGAGTGCCTGCTTAGCAAGCCTGAGGCCCTGAGTTCAAGCCCCAGTACAAAAAAAAGAGAATACCTTTGAAAATAAAGATAATCAGCTATAGCTTGTTGCCAACACTGTATAATACTAACTTGGAAAGGTTGTCCATATATCATGATGGGTAAGGGACCTAAATTCAACCTCCTATGCCACCTTAGCTTAGTTTCAGGAATAATCCCCACCCCCCCCACCCCCCAGTATTGGAGTTTGAACGCAGGGACTCACACTTGCTAGGCAGGTGCTCTACCACTTGAGCCACTCTGCCAGCCCTGGTTTTTTGTTTTTTTTTTTTACTTCGAGACATGGTCTCATTATATAGCTCAGGCTGGACTTGAACTTAAACTGGATATTCTCCTGCCTTAGTCTCCTGAATGGTGGGATTATAGACATGCACCAACATGCCTGGTTAGGGATGACTTTTTAAAATTGGACTAACAAATACTATTTAGCATACATAGGGTTACTTTGAGTCAATGCATGCAAAGGGCTGAGTATGGGGGCTGGAGGCAAGGCTCAAGATGTAGAGTCCTTGACTAGCAAGTGCAAACCCCTGAGTTCAAACCCCAGTATTGCCAAAAACAAACACAACCTCCTCAACCCAATCCCAAAGTGCTTGTTTACTTAATTTGCTTCAGTACTGTGAGTTTGTATTCCTTTACTCAATCTTGGCTGCCACAGACAGACAGAAAGCACAAGGGCACTTTTTTCTTGCATCTGCAGTGGAAACCTTAGCAGCAGACATAACTGCTTCAGGTCTGTAAAAGATGCATAGATTCTGATTTTTAACTCAATTGGTTTTCTGACAGCCAGACGTGGTGCCATAGGGTAATATCCAACCAGTTAAAAAGAAAACCAGTTAAAAAAGAAAAGTCCAGCCTTTTTTTTTTTTTTCATTTATTGTCAAAACTTAAAATGCCAAAAGAATAATTTAAATTTCTAAGTAGCTCCTGAATCAACTAGAAGATGGGACTTACCCTCTGTTCAACACCATGCTGTCATTTTTGAGTGTGAGTAGGTGGACAGGTGGGGAAGGGACAGGTGAGACTGGGTTTGAACTCAGGGCCTCATGCTTGCAAAGCATGCACGCGGCTTGTTATTTAAAAAAAAAAAAAAAAAGAATTTTTTTTTTAATTTTTTTTTTTGGATGTTGCTGGGGTTTGAACTCAAGGCCTCATGCTTGCTAGGTAGTCATGCTTTAGATAGGGTCTCATGCTTTTTTGCTCCAGTTTTATTATTGAGACAGGGCTCATTAATTTTTGCTGGGCTGGTTTTGAACTTTAATCCTTCCAATCTCTGCCTCCTGTGTAGCTAGGATTATAGGCTATATCATCACACCTAGCCAGCTTTTCTTTTCCTTTTTTTTGTTTTGGTGGGACTGGTGTTTGAACCCAGAGCTTCATGCTTGCAAAGCAAGCGCTCTACTCTTGAGTCACAGCTCCAATTCATTGCTGGTTCTGGTTATGTGGGAGATGGGAGTCGTAGAAACTATTTGCCTGTGTTGGCCTTAAACTGTGATTCCAATCTCAGCCTTCCAAGGAGCTACGGTTAACTTTTTTGACTTTCATGGAACTTTTTTTTTTTTTTTAAAACACGATTTATTGGAGCAAACTATCAATGGGATTTTACCCCAACTACCTGAAGGTAAACAAGAACTTTAGCTCAGTCAGCTCAGAAAGAGGGGATCTGCCTATCTATGAAATTTTCCTTCAGTGATATTCAGTGAAGATACAGAATTATTCAACACTTAGACCCTAACCCTAGGTGTGTGGGAGATTAGTCTCTTTTTTGTCTATTTTCTACCTTTGCTGTCTTCCTTAGGGCATGCCCTCTTCAGGAAGTCACAGATAACGAATAAACATAAACAGAGGTTAAAAGCCAAACAGATATGATCTCTTAAAAAAAAAAAAAAAAGTAGCACTGGGGCCTCCCACATACTTGGCAAGGGCTCTACCACTTGAGTTATGATGCAGCCATTTATTTTTATTTTTTTCTTACTACCTTTGCCCCAAGGTTGGCCTCTTAACTCTCCTACCTCCACCTTTGGAAGAGCTGGGATTATAGCTGTGAGTCACCATGCCCAGCTAGGAGACATGTTCTTAAAAGATAAAATTGAGGAACAATATTTTGCTTTGAAGGTATTTTGTCCTTGTAAGATTATACCATGGTTCTGAACCCTCCTCATTCTCATAGGGTTTAGATGAAGTTCACTTTTTTGCTTTGTTTTTAGTTCTTATTTTTTTCACATGTTCTTGGTGGGACAGGAGTTTGAACTCAGGGCTTACAGCTTGTAAAGCAGGTACTCTACCACTTGAGCCACACCTCCAGTCCATTTTGCTCTAGTTATTTTGGAGATGGAGTCTCACGAACTATTTGCTTATACTGGTCTCAAACCAAAATCCTCCCAATCTCCAGCTCGAGAGCAGTTACAGGAGACGAGCACAGTTACCCGCTTGATTCATTTTTTTTTTTTTTTTGATAAAGTCCTTATGCATATTCCTGACATGTCAAATAGCTCCATTTTTCCCTAGAACCTAAACCTTTGCTTTCAGCTTCAATCTCAACTCAACTAATAACTGGGTGCGCACTTTGCTGTTACCTGTTATCCCACTACTGGGGAAGCAATTGGAGGATCTCAGATCACTGCGGCCAGTATGATAAAGTGAGACTTCAATCTCACAAGTAATTCCAATGCCAAGCGGACCAGTGCTCCATGCCTTGTAATCCTAGTTACTTCAGGAGCAGAATCAGGAGACTGTGGCTTTGAAGCTAACCAGCGGGACTAGTTTGACAAGATCTAGTCTTGACAAACACCTTCACGAAAGGTGGGTGGCTCAATTGCATAGGCAAGTTTCAAACCCTACTGCCAAAAAAAAAAAAGAAGAAAAAGAAAAAAGAACCAATGTAAAAAAGGCTGACAGAGTGGCTCAACTGGTAGAATGCCTGCCTAGCAAGCATGAGGCCTGAATACAATCCCCACTATTGCCCAAACAAAGAAAAAATAACAATAAATCCCATACCACTACTGGCAAACGGCAAATTACTAATCTAGATGTTGGGAGGCAACAGGTTTAGTAGGAAACACTGATTAAAAAAAAAAAAATGTGGGCCTCAGGCACCAGTGGCTCACACCTGTAACCCTAGTGACTCAGGAGGCAGATATCAGCAGGATGGAGGTTCGAAGCCAGGCTGGGGAAAATTTGTGCAACCCTATCTTGAAAAAAACCCTTCATGAAAAAAGCCTGGTGGAGTAGTTCAAGGTATAAGCCCTGAGTTCAAATCCTACTAACACACACACACACACACACACACACACACACCACACATATACAGTGAGGCACACTGTATGAGTGTATGGAATTATCACAATGAATATCCCCTTGTATTACTAATGTATAATTATTAAAAATAAAATGAAAACAAAAATTTAAGAAGATGTGGGCCACCAAAAAATTTTGGAAACCACTCCCCGCCCCCCACACCTATAAGGTAGGGCTAGGAGTATAGCTCAGTGAGGGAACATCTGCCTAGCATGTGTGAGGCCCTGGGTTTAATCACCAGCACTCCAAACATTTTTAAAAATAAATAGAAATAAACATACACCACGTGTGATGGCACACACTTGTAATCACAGCATTGGGAGATTGGGGCAGGAATATCTGGAGTTCCAGACCAGCTTAAGTCACATAGTGAGACCTGTCTCAAAACCAGACCCAAACAAACAAAATACCCACAGTAATCTGAAGATATCTAGGCTGAAAAGGAAGCTATGCATAGCCCGCACTCTACCATCCCAAGGCTCTGAGCACTGATGATAACTTCTCTGACGCTCATGTCTGCTTTTCAGGCACTTATAGTGAGGAAAAGAAATGAGAAACTAGGTGTCCGCCATGTAAATAGACAGTGACAAACATTAGACAGCAGGGTCACTCACCTAAACTATCAGGGCTGTCAATGGAGAAACACATCAGTATAACATCGGTGTCTGGGTAAGAGAGGGGCCTCAGGCGATCATAATCTTCCTGCCCAGCTGTGTCCCACAAAGCCAACTCTACCTGTGATGGAAAAAATGAGTACAAGGTTAATTCCACTTCCCAGTGTTTTGAAAAACATGACATCACAGTACTATTAGCATTGTCCTGAGTAGAGAAATACAGCATTCATTTTTATGAGAACCAAACCAGACTATAGCCAGGCGCCAGTGGTTCACACAGGTAATCTTAGCTACTCAGGAGGTAGAGATCAAAAGGATTGAGGTTCAAGGCCAACCCAAGTAAAAAGTGAGACCCTATCTCAAAAATACCAACAAAAAAAGAAGGGCTGGTAAGGTGGCTCAAGTGGTAGATGCCTGCCTAGCAAGCATGGGGCCCTGAGTTCAAACCCCAATTTAGACAGTATGTTTAAAATTATTTTAGGCTAAGATTTCTCAAAATAGCAAATTTATAACATTCCACCAGGTGTACAAGCTAAATATCAGACTGGGTAACTCTTCTTTTTTGCCTTCAGGAAATCAAACCCAGAGCTTTGAGCATGCCAGGCAAGTACTCTACCACTGAGTTACATCTCCAGACTGAGTAACTTTTCTTTCTTTTAAA